ACTATCGTGGTTTAATTCAGCACAGACTTTCTGAGGATGAGCAGAATGAGTTGTTGAGAGGTATTACAAGAGCAGAGATAAAGCAAACCTTTCTTTCACTTGCCAGGGATAAAGCCCCAGGGCCAGATGGATTCCCTGCAGAATTTTATAAAGCTCATTGGTCTCTTATTGGCACTGAAGTTGAAGAGGTAGTTCTATCTTTCTTTTCTACTGGTTTTATGCCATCTACTGTGAATAGTACCATTTTTACTCTGGTAGCTAAAATTCCCAGCTCTGAAAAGATGAAGGATTATAGGCCCATAGCTTGTTGTAATACCTTGTATAAGGGTATTTCAAAACTGTTAGCTAATAGACTTGCCCTAGTTCTTCCCAGTGTGATAAGTAGATCTCAATCTGCTTTTATCAAGGGGAGGTCTATAAGTGATAATATTCTACTGGTGTCAGAATTGGTTAGAAATTATCATAGAAAGAATATAACTCCTAGATGTGTGGTGAAAATAGATATAACGAAGGCATTTGATTCAGTAAACTGGAAGTTTCTGTTTAGTATAATGAAGGCAATGGGGTTTCCAGAGAGATTTATTACATTGATCTTTGCTTGTGTTACAATACCTACTATTAGAGTTGCAGTTAATGGAGGGTTGTGTGGTAATATAAAGGCTGGTAAAGGATTAAGGCAGGGGGATCCATTATCCCCCTACCTGTTTACAATAGCAATGGAAGCATTGGATTGTTTGGCTAAGAAAGCTATGGTGGATAATCAGATTCCTTACCATCCTCGTTGTAAACCTCTTATGATTTCCCATTTATGTTTTGCGGATGATTTGATGATGTTTACTAATGGGTCAATTAGAGGGGTTGCAGGCATTAGAAGGTTAATGGATAGTTTTTATAAGCTGTCTGGTTTAAGATGCAACCCAGCCAAGTGTCAACTTTTCTGTGCTGGTATTCCACATGATGAAATGCTTGCTATATCTGGTTTTACTGAATTCCCTTTGGGTACACTTCCTGTGAGGTACTTAGGAGTCCCACTTATAACAGGAAAACTCACTAGGCAAGATTGTAAGGTGTTGGTGGATAAGATAACACAAAAGCTGAGAAGTTGGAGGTCCAAACTGCTAAGCTATGCTGGGAAAATACAACTTATCACCTCTGTCATCTCCAGTACCCTCCAATATTGGCTCAACATATTCCTGCGGCCTCAGTTTGTTATCAAGGAGGTGGGTAGGTTGTGTAACGAGTTTCTATGGGATTCTGTTGAGGATGGTAGTCGTAAAAAAGCAGTTATGGCTTGGGACAAGTTTACTATCCCAAAGAAAGAGGGTGGCCTTGGTATTAGAAACTTTGGAGTATGGAATAAGGCGTGTGTATTGAGGCATTTATGGGAGATCCTTACTCTAGGAGGGTCTATATGGGTTGCATGGATTTCAAGGTATAGGCTGAAGGGTAGAAGCATATGGGATATCTCAATTGTTTCTGTTGGGACATGGATTTGGAAACGGGTGCTGAAATGTAGAGAGGTAGCTCATCCTTTCATTTCTGGGATTGGAAACGCCACTCTATGGCAAGGAGAGCAAATGAAGCGATTCTCTTTGTCCAGGGTGTGGAATGATATCAGAGAGAAAAAACCAGAAGTGCAATGGTGGAGATTAGTCTGGCCAAAGGAAGTCATTCCTAAGCATGGATTGATTCTGTGGCTTGCTATCCATGGACGATTGGTAACTCAGGATAAACTCCTGGCCTGGGGGAAAACTGTATCTGGATGCTGTCTATTGTGTCCAGGGGGGTTGAGAACAAAGATCATTTACTTGTTTATTGTTCTTACTCTTGTGCTGTTTTGAAGCTCTGTTTGAAGAATCTGTCTCCACCAGCAGTAGGTGGCTGGGATGCAACGGTTGCTTGGTGTGCAAGGGAATGGCAGAAGAAGACTACTAAAGCGAGTATTTGCCGAGTACTGTGGAGTGCTGCTGTGAGTCATATATGGCGTGAAAGATGTTCTCGGCTGTATGGGACAAGAGGTATCAAAGACCCTGCTATGTTGGTGAAGTTGATACATGAGGAAGTTGCTTACCGAGTTTGTACGGATCCTGCCCTCCAGTTAGAATTAGATAGCATTGAGTAAACTATAGATAGGAGATAGGAGTGGTTTGTAACTTTGTTCCTTGCGTTGTAACTGTTTGAGAGGCGCTGCAGGTTTTCCTCTGCAAGTGGCCTGTACTTAATGCAATTTTTGATTTCACATAAAAAAAATATTTAATTTCATTCGTGGTTACTGAAATTAGTTCAACAGTTCCAAATTTGGTCACTCTCCGTCCAACTCCGTTAACTTGTCCTGATGTGGCCGTTAACTCTCATAGTTGACGTTAAATGTGTGACATGGTCATTAAAATAGATAAAAAAAAAAATTAAAATTCAATTATTTAAAATTTCCATATCATTTCACAACTATTAGAAAATAAAAATAAAATTTAATTTCTATAATTCCCTACCACACCAAACCTCTTCCTCTGTTTCTCCCCGTCCCTGTTTTCACCGCCGAACCTCCAAACCCCCACCACCCAACCCTCCCCCTCCCCATCCAACACCAACACCAACAAAGATTATGTAAATAATTGGGAAATGAAGAAGGCACAAAACCCTCACGGGACCTCAAACAAAAGTTAGATTCGTTGCCCTTATTGCATGACGAGACCTTGCCGATAGGAGTATGTCCTAAGAGATTGAAGCAGGATAAATCCAAACCAATTGATCTTAACTCGATACATTATCAGTTATTAACTGAACTTGGCTACTCTAGGTGAAGCTACTATAGACAACAACATTTTATCCTTGCATTTACTGAATCTATCTTTACTATGTTATGCACTTTAGTTAGTAGGGTAATATCTATTTTTTATCCAAACTTTTTTTTAGATTTTTTTTATATTATCCAAACTTATCGAAATATTAAGAATTAGCCAAATTTTAACTTCCAGTTAGCAATTTTGTTAGAAATATTGACTTGACAATGTGATACTGACATGGAAGAGACATATGAAGATCAACATTCCAAAATTCTAGTATTTTAACTAAGAAAAGAGTTACACAATTATTAACGATAACGTAAAAATGGATAATATTTTGATGCATTATGAAAGATTTTAATAATTAATAGAATTTTAATAGATTTTGATAATATAAAAGAATCTGAAAAAGATTTGAATAAAAAATATGCATTATCCTAAATACAACACTAGAGCACCTCAACCCCACTTGAAAACTTGAACATTAGTGGTGAATCTAATAGAGAAATTGTCGAAAGCCCTGTAAAATATGACCTTATAGTTACTTATACTTACTTTTTGCAACATACTGAGTCATTAAATGATGATATTGCCTTATTTTGGTCACTTCTATTATCGATTTAAGGTGTTACTTGGTGTTCGCTTTGGCTCTAGTTTTGCTTAGATAGTTGTTGGGTTAGTTCTTTATACTTGTTGTAAAACTTCCAGCGAGATGTAACAAACGACATTCAGTAATAAAAAAAATTTCAAAATTTTCAAACAAAAAGCACTTAAAAGATTTATAGAAGTGTTTGATTCCACTTCGCGTTTTTAAACAAAAAGCACTTAAAAGATCCAAATCAAACATTGACTTTATTCAATATACAATTTCTATATAATTCGAGTTCAAAGCGGTTATGGTTATCATGTAAAAGAACTTAGAAAAAGTTATAAACATTAAGAATATTATGAAATAATTACCAGGCTACAACTTTTTTTTGGTAGTGAAACTGAAACACAAACTCTTCTTAAAAGAACTGAAAATGGAGGATAAAAGTTAGGTTGAGAAATTGCTCTATATTTTGGAGCACTCTGATTGATTAATAAAACCCAAAATTAATAATCACCCAAACAATGCATGGACTTTTAAGGTTGAAGGATCAAGTACTGAGTAATCCATCACGATTTCGTCATTAAGTTGCATATTAACCAATTGCCAGGAGACACGTGGAACTGATGGCTGTGTAGGGTGGGCATTAGTGCGGTCGGACCGAGAGGAACCGGCAAAGTTACCCCTTTAAATACCGTAACCACCAGCCCAGAACCTTTTCTCGACGACTCTGGAAATTGGCAGCAATGGCGTACGTCGAACGAGGTAGGTCGTCGCTCTCTCTTCTTGTTCTCTTTTTATCAGATTATCGCCTCATTAGGTTTCGCTGATGCGGTTCCCTGTGAAGCGAGTTTTGATCGTTAATGTCTCCTTTCCGGTATCTCCAACTTAGGGATTACATATCTCAAATTTACCAGATCATCGGTCGAAGACCTCAAATACATTCTGCCTTGTGATTTCGTTCTTCCAACATTGAATTTCTTGTATGTGGATGAGGAAATTGGCTTTGAAAGAATGAAAGTAGTTTGAAATTAATGATTGTCGAGCAAAGTTTGAGGATGTTTGAAAAATATTGGGAAAATTCTGAATTGGTATCGATCTGAACCCTATAGAACTGCTGTATCTTGAACAAAGGATTGAGCTTGATCTGAGTGGCCTTTTCCTTGTCCTTCTTATATCGTCCGGGTTCTGCGTAAGTCTCCTCATTGTTGGGTTATCTGCTAGGTCTAGTTTGTTGGTCGGATTCATTTTAGTTGTCTGATGAGTCCTAACGGAGAATATGCTGGTTTCATTCCCGAAGTTCCGGTCGGTAGGAGGTTGGATGGGTTCTCTCTCAAAAGAAAACAAGGGTGATCTTGCAAAATTTTCCTAATTGGTATTTTGTAACTATGGTGGTTACTGGTTAGAAGAGCCCATGGCTCGAGCAGAAAGTGTTTTTTCATGTGGAGAATTGATAAGATTTCCTGATTAGTTGTCTTATTTCCTAATAGGTGCAGTCACTCTTGTCTCAGCAAGCTGACTTCTTTATCTGTCCATGTTGTTTGTTGTTCGTTCACGAACTTGTGATGTTACAAGGCGTTATTCAAATCGGCATGTTTCTTTTTCATGTACTTCCCCTTTAATAAATGGTTGAAAGAAGGCTATAAACAGTGGTCGATTTAGATATGTTACTTTCCATGTTGATCATCTTCAGATTTACTTCGTGTCTAGTATGTATCAAAGGGGAAGTACATGAAAAAGAAGCTGATTCTGGCTTGTTTTGTTTCCGAAGCTGTATTTGATCACTAACAAGTAGCAGTTGAAAAGTTGAGCATGGATGCTGAGTTTCTGGTTCAGTAACGCTGCACCTTGATGGAAGTAGATAAGTTAGATAATTGCTGATCCTTTTAAAAGGATTGGAAGTTGGTCTATTTGCTAACAATCGACTCTGTTTCCATTTATGAGTTCTTCCTTGCAGTAGTCGAGACTGTCACAGTTTTCTGTCTTCGATGTAGCCGTGTATGAAGTTTTTATAGAGAGCTTTCTGGCCTCAACTATCCAATTTCTAGCCGTCTGTTCTTTGGTTAGGTTTAGTTTCATAAAACTCATAGGAGTAAGATGATCGGGTGAACTTCAGTGTGTGGCTTTTGCACCTTCATTTCTTCTATCATTAGTAAGATATATCCAACAGCTTTGGTTCTTTTTATTTCAGGCGTTGTGAAATCCAAGAAATCCTTATGGCGACTGAAGACATTCACAGACTTCTTTTGGGCTATCATCAACTTGATTTCTGTGTTCTTCGCTACCATGTTTTCAGTAAGAATTTTCATTTCCTCATTGCCATATGTGGAATCATCTCCATGAGACCAGGAATCACCGTTGGAGGTGGGCTTCTCAGGTGTTATGGTAATAATATGGCACTTAAATTTGTTCTTTCTCCAGATGGAAAAATCAGATGCTTACCGAAAAGGATCTGGTGGTAGCAAGAAATGGGACGGCGGAGGACCTGGAGGTCCTGGAAGTGGACCATATGGTGGTGGGCCGGGTGGACCGCCTAGAGGAGGACTTGACAACGTTCGAGGACTGAGGGACGTTCGTGGTGGTGATCACAGTAAGCTCGCCACCCGTATTTCCTACTTGGATCATTCCAAGTTCTTTAACTATGTAGTATATTATTTAACGAGAACCTCTGGTACTAACTTGCAGGTTCCTTGCCTGCTTGTGGCTCGTGCTGCGGCTAGATGGAGAGAGGTGTGTCCTCTCCGATTTCTGGTGAATGCTTCCTTCTTGTTCATCTTCAGGTTGCAGAATGTAACGTACTCTACTAGGATGGAGCGACATGTATAGAACTCTGAAGATATATACGCGGCCTGTCTGTTTGAATGTAAAAGTTCTTATTTTTCGGCATAACTACTTATCCATCATTCCATCTGAACAACTTAATAATTAGCTTCCTTTGTACTTGTTTGTTTTGTATGTGGAGAACCATCGGAATCTCTTGGACCCTGACAATTGACAAACAAGTGACCTGTGTAATTTGATTCAGTTTTTTAGGTTAACGACGTGGCCTGCTGAATGAACCTTTACAACTTGCAAGGTAGCCATTGATTGCAGAGTACTTCAGATTTAGGCCAAGACATTAGCAATAACAGCATTTAGGCCAAGACATTGCCATGCCATCATGTCATGGTTGACGCCCGCTTGATCATTCCATGTTCGCCATGGTTTCATTTGACCATAATTGAAGTCCTATGACAAGGTAAGCGATGTTAAAATTATACTATCTCAATTTTAATCTGTATTATAGTCTATTTGACACCAACCCGACAATCATAACAACGTGACCAGTGCCATACTATCTCGATTCTAGTCTCCATGGCCGTGTATTCGACACCAACCTGACAACTATAACAAGATGGCCAGTGCCCGCCAGTACAACCACTCTTCACCATGTGTAGTGGATGTCATCCTTGATAATGAGTGATTGACAATTAATCTCACCACGTATAAAGGACGAGTAGCAAGAGACGTTTGTTTCAATAAAAGAAATCAAAAGTCAGAGGCACCGTACCTAAGAACCAACGGTCTGACAGTCGATGCCAACCAAACCACTCCCATAATGGATGTTGATCATCGTTGAACACTAGTGAGTGAGAATCCGGCCACCACACAAAGGCTTCCCGGCTTCTAATTCAGAGGTTTGTTATATCTCTTTTGTCTAGTAACTTCAAGCGTTTCGTCAGGCAAAATAAATGATCTCCTCACAATCACACGAATTGGACGAGAAGAATAAGCACACAAAATATCGAATTCCAAAACTCCAAATCAATAAAAACTGTAAGGAAGGATGTTGATCCAAACTGTGAAACGCATCTTGGACCTCTAGTCTAGGTATATATTGTTTGCTTCAATAGATTGATTTTTCTCTAATGTGTTTTGTGTGTATATGGAAGATGATTCATCCCCGTGTCCTTGCTTTGGTAGGCCATTATCCACCCTAGCTCGTTGTATATACACATCGCCATATGGCGGCCCTGCAAAACCTCTTCCTCATCCCAAAAAATACTACTCTATTGTGTTAGAAAATAGAAATGTTATACATAGTCTCGAATATTACACTTTTTTTTAAGTCCATCATGTGCCGTTTCACAACAATAATAAACGGTTGATGATTATAAACTTATTGTAACGACAAACCAACAACATCATCATCATAAATTCATAATCACTGTGCATTAAGATAATGTAAAGTGCACTTAAGGAAGAAAAAAAAAAAGAAATTAAAATAGTGTAATTAATTAAGATCGTGCCCCAAATATGCAAGACGAAAGGAGCTAGTTAGATACACCCACACATGAAGAGAAGGGCAAGAAGAAGAGAACAGAATGCAAAAGGACGACGGGTTAGAAGACGGCCAATATAACAAACGACGACGTCACAAACCAATAATTTTTTTTTAGTATTTTTACCCCCTTCCATTTTCCATTAAATTAATTTCCGGAAAAAAAATCATTAAATTAAACTTGCCTTGAATTTAATGGGGGAGAATTGAATTCCACAGTCAGCGAGCGAGCGAGCGACCCAGCCGGCTCTCCTCTTCCTCTTTTTTTTTTTTTAACTTGTCATTCAACTCTTTTTAAACTAACCTTCATATATATTCCCTACTCCACCGGGGCGAACCACCAACAGACCCACAGAGAGAGAGAGAGAGGCTAGCAAATTATACTAACCACCACAACCCCTTTTCCTTCCTCCTCCTCCTCCTCCTCCTTCTTCTTCTTCTTCTTCCTCTCTCTGACACTCACTTACTCACCTAAAACTTCTCCTTCTGATCACCCTAATTAATGGCGAAAATCTCAAAGAAAAACACTTGTACAGCAGTTACAGCCGGAAAAGGAGCGGGAGGTACTATTATTAAGAAGGAGAAGAAGGAGAAGGCGGCGGCGGCGGGAAAGAGGACGAGAAAGAGCGTGCCAAGAGATTCCCCTCCCAAGCGCAGTTCGATTTACAGGGGCGTCACCAGGTGATTTAATTGATAATTATCATCATCCGGTCATTTTTATATCTAATAAATTAGTGAATTCAGTAATTAGTAGATGTTAATGGGATGGCGCCGGCGGTGGTTTGATTCGCAGGCACCGGTGGACTGGACGGTACGAAGCCCATTTGTGGGACAAGAACTGCTGGAACGAGTCACAGAACAAAAAGGGCAGGCAAGGTACGTTAATTTATATTAATCAATAATTAAATGTTGAAAAAATTACCACCAAAAACCAATGGGAAGGAACCCTCCTCCATTTTTTTTTTTACTTTTTTACTGTCTTTGGCCGCCGACGTCCGTCTTTTGATTACTTTCGGTTGTTGTTGACTGATGAATTTGTTATTTTTTGTGTTTCGTTTTTCTATTTGTTTCCCTTTTTCCGGTTCTGGTTCTCATCTCGCGCCGGGGGAAATGGAATTTAATGGAATACAAATACATATAATTTTGTACACAGTGTATTTAGGTACGTACCTCTCATTTTCGTTCATTTCTTTTATTTATTTATTCATTTATTATCTCTCTTTAGTCTCTGGTATTTAGTTTTTTCCTGATAAAAATACGTGTATTATTATTTTGGTACGTATGGGTATAGGGGCGTACGACGATGAAGAAGCTGCGGCACATGCCTATGACTTGGCAGCATTGAAGTACTGGGGACAAGACACCATCCTTAATTTCCCTGTAATACTAATTACCATCTGCCCGGTGAAATTATATTTTTAGCTTACATAATATAATTAATTATAGATATAAGGATTATTGTCTTAATTAGTTAAATAGTAAATAATTACAAGTCGTATATGATATGACAGTTGGCGACCTACGAGAATGAGTTCAGAGATATGGAGGGATTGTCCAAAGAAGAATACATCAGTTCTCTGAGAAGGTATACATTCTTGATAATATTTTTGTAAAACACTTCTATAGACAATATTACACATTAATTAATTATGGAACCGAATTTGCAGAAAAAGTAGCGGCTTCTCCCGCGGCGTCTCCAAGTACAGAGGCGTGGCAAGGTAACAAAAATAATAAGTAAATAGTCCACAGTATATGTTAAGGTTTGCTTTTCAGAGATTTGCATGATCATTTATTTGTGCAAAAGATAACGGGGATCAATTAAAGCTACCAAAATCAGATGAAAGGCCAAAAAGGGTGGCATACCATTAATCCCAACAGTGGAATATATATTGTAGATTTGGGAGAGTATGACACGTCAACTCTACTTACTAAATTTCTTCTTCTAACCAACCAACCATATATATTTTTGGCTTCTCCCCACCTCCCTTGGATAATAGTCAAGATCGAATGGTCACTCTCCAAGTCTCCAAATTAATGAGGAAGAGTAAGAAAATATGGCACAGGTGGAGGAAGAAGTTGTTGAAAATTGGTGAAAATTGAATGAGCATAGGAAAATGGCATTAATGTAAACGGTCATTACTACCGTAGGATATTCTAAAATAAATTACGGTATTCTGGTATTTTAAAATATGTTTAATTGGTGATACAAGTTATGAAGTTCTTTGGTATTTTTTTTTAACAAAAGTAAATTTTCCCTGTTGTTTCTTCTTTTCTACTTTGTTCACACTCTTAGGAAATGTGAAGTTATTGGCTATATATTTTGGTACACAAGCTTGGAGTGGGGCTTTCGTATGGTCGATATAGAAATTTGAATGATACCCTAAAAATTGTGCAGACACCACCATAATGGGAGATGGGAAGCTCGGATTGGTCGAGTTTTCGGCAACAAGTATCTCTACCTTGGAACTTATGGTACGTCAATATTATATTTTACATTTTTATATATTGTGTTTAGACATTCGATGATTAAGGGATGAAAACCTATATCAGTATCGTCAGGATGAGGGTTTGACATAAGTTGCACATTTCCCTGCTTCAACCTTGTATGCCGACGTACTCCTCCTCCTACCTAGGGCTTTGTTTGTCAAACTTACAAACGTCATGAAACGTACAAAGAAGTGGAAGTAGTAGTAAAAATATAGCAATCAAATCGAGTTAGTTGGAATTCAGATCACCAAACCCCAACTGCTTGCTTCGTCAGCATTTAATTCACATTTCAGACTTCCACTCAAGCAATATACTTCCCCCGTTTTGTTTTCATTTGGGTTTTTAATTGCTCCTTTTAAATGGACAACCCTTTGACGGCAACCATTCAACAATTCCACTCCCACCAATATATTCATGCTCAAATTCATTACTCCTATATTCTTTCTTCTTATTAGAAATGCCACTTTTAACTACGCAATAACTATAATATTGACATTGGATTAGTAACATGAATAATTGTTTACGAAATAGTATATATCGATATATATAACTATCATTTCGTCACCTTTATTTACGTCGCAGCCACTCAAGAAGAAGCGGCCACAGCGTATGACATGGCAGCCATAGAGTACAGGGGGCTGAACGCCGTCACAAACTTCGACCTGAGCCGTTACATCAAATCGCTGCGCCCAAACAGCCAAACACCTTCCGCCGGCGCCTCCCAACGGAACCCTAACGGCGACGACGCTGTAACCGTCCATTCGCCGCTCCAAAGCGTTATCACTGACGACCACCATAACAACCAGCTGCCCGCCACACCCGATAGCTCCCCGGGAACCATCACGCCGCCCGCGTGGGGCAACGGCGGGTCGTCGTCGTCGTCGTCATCATCGGCGTCATCTTCGTCGTCGGCTTTAGGGCTTCTGCTGCAATCGTCCAAGTTCAAGGAAATGCTGGAGAGAAGTTCAACGAATTCCACCGCCGACGACTGCCAATATTCGACGCCGCCGAGGGATGTGTCTGAATCCGATCACCGAATCCCGCGGCGGAGCTTCCCGGAGGACATCCAGACGTACTTCGACTGCCAGGATTCCGGCGGCATCGAAGGCGACGAACTCCTCTTCGGAGACCTCAATTCATTCGCTTCACCTATTTTCCACTGCGAGCTTGATGGGTAGATTAATCTGATAAAAACAATTATCATAAGTTTTTTTTATTTAGAGTGCCAAAAAAAAACTCAATTTGATTAATTGATTTTATAGATATTTTTAATATTTATTACCTATATATATCCTTACAAAAATTAATGATTTTAACAAACTGCTAAACAGAGATTAATTTGGGGAGGGGGATATATATCACAGAAGAGAACGTAACATTACTATATATTCCAGTTCTGTGGCAGAACTAGAGGATGTGTTACAATTTTTATTATTATTTTATCTTTATTAATGGTGTTTTATTTTGTAATTGTAGATTGATGGAAGGTAAGACATTATAATAGTTTTAACAGTTTACCACAATAAATAATGTACTTCATTATTATATTAAAGTTTGACCTTTTTGGGGTTATTAGCTTGTTCCATCTATCTATAATAGTGCATGCATAATGCATTGAATATTTGATTGTCTAGTTCATGAGGCAACCTACATCTACATGAATAAATATAGCTGGAACCAACTTGCCATCCAATTAATATGACATTATCGATCGGCTGGCTGCTAGCTAACTGTTAGCAACATTTAGTGATATGAAAACTAAAATTTCAATAAGGAATAATATAGTGTATTTGATACATTTTTTAGTTCATATAGAACTAATTAATAACTAATATTCCCTATACATGTCTTTCTTCCAGAATCTAAACCAACGATTCACGAGTAATTCATATCAAATTGTGGGATGAGTATGGTATGGACAATCGCTTCGAATTCGAAAAATTTGATAAAATGAAATCAAATAAAGATAAAGAACCTTCCCCTCGGGGCGGGGTTTTCATACCAACACATCAAATTTGTTTGTAAAATTGTAAGAGTTTAGATACTTAAGTAAAAAAAACATAAAGGTACTAAAATATAATTTTACCACAAAAATGCAATGACCTTGTTGTAATAACTAATAATTGGGGTCGTTTGCTTGATGGATTTGGGTCATGGAATTGGGACTCGAATCCCAAGGGATTTTAGCCAAGTCCATTGTTTGTTGTGAGGTGTTAAATCCGTGGGGTCCACGGATTTGTTCTCTTTTCTGGATCCAAATCCGTGGAACCCACGGACTTGTAAATCCCACATATTGGGGTGGGATTTGTAAATCCTTGATGGCTAGTTATATTTATAGCAAATCCATCATAATTATATCATCAAATCTATCATGCAAACAATAGACTCTTCAAATCCATGATGGTACAAATCCCTCATAAATCCAAAGATTTTTTTGAGCCAAAACCCTCATTTTTCAAATCCAACAAACAAACGACCCTCGTTACTAAATTGTAAAAAATAAAAGTTAGGATACCAAAATATAACATAAAAAACCAGTATAGTAGTATAGTATATTTATTGATGGGAGTTGATCCACTTGCTCGGTTCAGCCTGACTCGGTCCTACCTGTACTGGCTAGGGATGTCAATTTTGCCCATACCCATGGGTATTTTACTATCCAACCCAATTGGATTGGGTATGAAATCCAAATAGATGGATATGGGTAGAGTTTGATGGGTTTGTACCCATACCCATTTACTTTGGGTTGGGTTGGGTTTATAACAAATGGATTTGGGTTTGTACCCATGCCCAAATACAAATTACAGTTTGGTACCTAAACTTAATAGATATGCATATTTAGTACCTAAATTTAATTTTTTTTGCATATAAGTCCTCAAAATATCGATGGAAAATTACGTTTTGGTACCTAAATTTTTTTGGTCTTACATTTTGGTACCTAAAATTTTCAAGTTTTACAAATAAGTCCAATTTTTGCATGTGTAGTTAAAACACCCTCAAGTAAATGGATATCCATATCCAACCCATACCCATTTAGATAATATTCATATCTAACCCAAACCCATATACAAACCCAAACCCATACACACATCACCCAAACCCTACCCATAATAAATGGGTCTACTTGGGTTTGGGCAAAATTACCCATGGGTGGGTAAATTGCCATCCCTACTGGCCATATAGGACCAAAGGAAAATTGGATTTGATCAGATCAGATCAAGTTAGATACTTGACCTTATAGAGCCGGATTTTTTTAGATGGTGGCAGCACCAGAGTTGAGTTTAGCATGGTTTCAACACTACTAGTTAATAATACTGGCAAATAAACAGCTAGCCAAGTCTTAAGACTGCTTTACGCTCTATTCCATCACCTGACGTAACTGGGAAAAACCTAATGCCTAGTTAATTACTTTTGATGCAAGGATGTGACAACAAATTGTTAGCCACCTTCAACAACCCATACAAAACAACACCTGTAACCAGATTGATCTCGTCAACCAGCTAACTGCGTGGCTAAGAAGCAGGAAGTCAGACCGAACTTTTGACTTTGTAACTAAAGTGCATGTGGATTGTGGTACTGGTACATAAATAGTAATACATTAGGAGGAGTAATTTCTTGCTAGGTTGCTAGTTCTGTTAAGAGTTAGATAGATAAGGATGGGAGGGTTTGACTAATAGAATTTGATCGAGCGGCGAATTGGTTGGCAAGTTAGCCGGCAAGCAATTAAGTGGTCGGCTGCCCCGCCGATGAATGATACAGTAGCTTCAGATACTTTTTGACTTCCTCGACGTTTTCCTCTCGGTAGTTTTTGCCAACCGTTGGGAGATGAAGGTTGATTTGGACCGGGCTTTAGCTAGATAACCTTTTGCGATTGGGCTCGTCACTTTCTTCTCCCCTTGGAAATAAACTAGAGCCCAGATGGTCTGATAAGTTGGCAAGTCCAACACTACAAGTTAAGGGCTAGAGTTTGGACTTAGATAGCCCAATTCGTGTTATTAAAGACCACCAACACGCTCTAAACCTAGGAGTGGGCATTGGAGAAAGGGTATTTGGATATACCCGTAGCCGTCCCATTTTTTCAGGATTACGGGTATCCAAATAACTGTTAATTTTTTTTACTGGTTTGGTGTATGGGATGGAGTTTTCTTTCCAAATGAGACTGGGTACCCGTTTCAAACGGGAGGAGTACCCAGTCCAGTCCCGTTGTCCACCTCTATCTAAACAACTTAAACTCGAATTTAAATCAATTCATAGGAATTCTCGAATTAGAGTTCTTCCCTTGTTTCTCCTTCGACGGGTAAAATTTATCGTTGGTCACTGAACTTGTCAAAGAAATTTATGTTTACCACTAAACACAATATTAATACAACTAAATCGCCAATTAGGGCTGGGCATGCGGGCGGATCATCCGCGGGTTTGGGCCGACCCACCCGCATTTGACCCGAATTTCGTTAAGTGGGTGGGTTTATGGGTGGGTGACGGGTTGCGCTGGGAGCCATCCGTTGGGTGGTGGGTGGGTTGTGGGTGGGTGCGCGGGTGACCCGCTCAACCCAACAGCAAAAAGATCAAAGTCGTCGGCGCTAGAGAAGGGAGAGTGGAGACGCTAGACATAAACTAGGACGGCTCATGGAGTTTGAACCTCAAAGCCAACCTTCCAAATAGCGATCCCCTCTTCTTCCCTTTATTTTTTCTCTAATTTTTGTGCCTAGATCACTGCTCTTTCCTTTGTTCCTTGCACCTGATAATCATCTCAATCTGTAGAAAACTCTTTCATAATAGAATTTCTATCCAATTTAAGAACTAATTCAACATTTTTCACCCTATTTCATCTTGTTTCCCCCGATAACTCTCTTCACATATTATCATGTCAAGTTGACTCCTTTATATTATATATACATTGTGATGTGGGTGAACCCACAAACCCATCCGAATCATCCACCATCCGCCCAACCCAACCTGAGACTAAATGTGGGTGGGTGGTGGGTTAAAAATTATCAATCCGTTTAAGCGCGGGTGGGTGCATTTTATGGTCAAAATCCACCCGACCCACCCAATGCCCACCCCTACCGCCAAACTTATATTAAAAGTACACCGTTAGTCACTCCCATGAGTTTTCATCTAACACCGTCATATGACAATGCTGACATGGAGATAACCATGTTGATTTCACAGTTTTTGGGACAAATTAATTTCTTACTAAATCTGTCGCATCAACACCGCAACTAGCTCTTCTCTTTATTCTTTGCAATTTTATCCATGACGATGAAGAGCCCTCCGCCCCTCCTTACAAGTTACAACTGCTTGTTGCCGTAGTCATGACTCATGCGTCGACTTATTGTGGAGTAGGAAAGAAGACTGAGGTGGTTGTAATAAGGCGCGCAAAGCGGACCGCCATGGTCTGTTCGCCAACGGAAATCACAATCCTTCCCATTGTTGGATATCCTAGTTGACTTGACCAACGATCGCAATGATCATGTAGGAGGCAAGAGCGACAGAGCTACAGAGGCGGTTGTGCTAGGAGCTGGAGTGAAGAAGGCTGTAGGAGGAGTAGTCAGTATAGTTATCTCCTGTTTCCCACGAAATCAAATATCCACCGTCGGTACCGAATTGGTTTCAGACGGTGTTGATTTGATTGTTTCATTGTGGAAACCAAATACCACCGCCGACATGCCAAATGACGGTGTTGATTTAATTGAACTGATGCACCACTGAATTCTAACCAACACGACCGTTACTTGGTTCACACCTCTCCAAACAATGTTCGAACGAGCGTGTTTGAGTTTTGGGAATCTACGTTACCGCTACTCTTATGGAGATTCCTGTGGAGAGCTCCGCGACTACGAATACTTATACCAATTATGGACATCCTTTCTGGAAGGAGAGCTCCGCGGAGGAGTTACACATAAAATGTAAAATTTTGACAGAGTTGATCTGTGTTGATTTTTGGTTCTCCCCTATCTCTCTCCTTGCTCTGGTGCTTTTATCAAAATCACTTTCGTAGTCTTCATGCTGTGAAACCACCTCGCCTTTGTCTCCCGCGTGCTCCATCCTTCTTCACGAAGTTGTAGTCTTCAACTGTGCTGGTAACCTCCACCTTGGCGCGTAATTCCCACGAGTGTGAAACTTCTCTGTAAAGACTTAATCAAAACGACGCGAAGCCAACATTGTAGCTATTCACCACGGTTCGATACTCCACCCTGGCTCCTAAAGCCAGACATTCGACATCCTTGTCCATAAAACGACGGTGTAGCAAAACCACACAACAGCGCTGAGCTTCCAGCCTTGCGACGCCGCTGAACTCACAATATCAATGCCACTTTCTACTCTCAATGGTGGCTCACAACTTACGACGTTGTTCTCTACTAAACAACGTCGTTCTACGGCCTTGTCAAATTCACAACTACACACCCATACTAGATGTAGCTTTTCCTTAAATAGTGTCATTTTTTATTCTACGACACTGTTTGATTTTTGCGTCAACCTCGCAACTTCAAGGTGATGTTGAATCACTCGACCCTC